GTGGATGATGAAGATGCGTTGAGGATGTCTCGAACGAGACGTCTGCTTTCACGTGTACAGGTCGTCCAGGCGGATGTCTAATAACGTTTGTTTTCACGTGTCCAGGTCGCTCAGGCGGATGCCTAGCATGAGGATGTTGACAGGATGTCTCGAGCGAGAAGCTTGTCCCCAGCACGTTCCGTAGCGCGCCACCTTGGCACGTCCCGCGGTGCGTCCCCATGGCGCGTCCCCTGGCGCGTCGCTTGGCGCGTCCCTTGAGACGTTCCGCGGCGCGCCCTCCTGGCGTGTCCCCCTGTCTATTAGCTCTGGGACAGCTACTATGTGTTCAGGCAGCTCAGACTTAAGATTCAGATCGGCTCGGTCGCGACTCGGGTAAAAAAGGAGGACTCGGTCCACAACGCTATAGAGCACAATCGCGGCATGGCACATCGCAACTCAGCACGGCGCAGCACAGCAGAGCCCTCGTCACGGCACATCAAGATCGATACACTCAGCATTGCAACCTGGCGCGTTTCCTGGCACGTTCCATGGCGCGCCCCCCTGGCACGTCGCGCGGCGCGCCCCCTGGCACATCCCGCGGCACGTCCATTGGCGCGTTCCGTAGCGCGCCCCCTCGGCACGTCCCGCGGTGCGTCTTCGTGGCACGTCCCCTGGCACGTCGCCTGGCGCGCCCCTTGGAACGTTCCGCGGCCTGTCCTCCTGGCATGTTTCCTTGTCAATTTAGTTATGGGGTAGCTACGATGCGCTGAGGCAGCTCGAGCTTAAGATCCAGATAGGTTCGGTCACGACTCGGGTGCAAAGGAGGACTTGATCCACAACGCTATAGAGCACAATCGCGGCATGGCATAACGCAATTCAACGTTGCAGCACGCCACAGCCCTCGGCAGGGCACATCAAGATCGATCCACTCAGCGTTGCGTTTGCCCGTCGCCCAATCAAATGTCTTTGAAGCGTTGCCATGCCTTACGTGTCCAGATTCCTTTCCGGATTCGTGGGTCGATCCTGTTCCCAGACAGAATGGCCCTGCCCCTCGCGCGCAATGTGTCTTCCACGCGCAGAATGGTCCAGCCCCCCGCCGGCGATGCAGCTTTGCCCCTCGCGCGCAAGGTGCTCTCCTGCACAGGAGGGGCTCAGGGCCGCTGCGCGCGCAGTGCGCGCGCAACGACGGGGCCCCTCGCGCACGGTGGGTTTTCGTGCGCAGAAGTGGGCCAAGACCGCCGCGCGCGCGGCAGCCTTTGCCCTTCGCGCAAAATGTGCGTTCCTATACTGACGCTCAGGGCCGCCGCGCGCGCGGCGGCCCTGTCTCTCGCGCAAACTTTTCCCACGCGGAAAGAATGAAGCACCCCAGAAGCGAACGAGTCTCCTCGAGCCCAAGGCCGCCCTGTCGGCAGCGGGTGGGCGCCAGCAGACAGGGACGGATTCGGCGCGGGCTCCCCTGTGGAATCTGACCGCGGCGATGTAAAAGGCGCGATACGTGCCCGACACGCGCGCCAGGGGAGCAAGCAACAACTGAAAGCCGCTCTACAAGCCCGTAGGCAAGAGACGGGCCGCGCGCGCGACGTGCGCCAGGAGGCAGCAGCTAAGCCGGCAAACCGCTCTACAAGCCCGTTCTTACATTTCGACGCCTCGGATAACGACGCGCCGCGCGTGCCGCCCCGATCAGCCACTGGAGGGGCACCACTCCCTCGGCGACAGCCCGCCCCCACGCACGCCACGGCGGTGGACTGTGACCGTGGGAAGAATGGGCGGGGATCCTCCGATGAGCCCCCCCCGCACAGGGGACCCGCGACACCGCCCATGCCCCAGCGGAGTACTGGGAGGGCCAACCAAGGGTGTCGCAGCAAAACGTGGCAGACCCACAACCGAAGCACGGAACACGGAAGGAAGAGCCGCTCCGTGGCGTTGAAATGCCGAGAACAATGTTTTGGCATGCTTCAGGATCTTCAAGCGGTTGTCCTCCAACATGGCAGTCCCCTGCATGCAAATGACGCGTTGTAGGGGCCTATGAGCAGGGAGCTTGGGAGGAGGGTTCATTCAAGCATCGTTGATGCCTCCTTGGTTTGCACTGGTCCTCCTCCTCCTCCCCCTGCCCTGCTCCTCGCCCTCCCTCTCGTCCTCCACCCCCCTCCTCCCGCTCGTCTCCTCCTCGCCATCGCTCGGACGTCCATTTCCCGTGCATTTTTCGGTTTCGTGCGTGTTTTTTTTGCTCGATGGTCCAGGATGGTCCTGGATGGTCCTCGCCGAGAAAAAATGCACACGTCCGAGCGATGCCAGGCCCCTCCCCTCCGCCCCCCCACCCTGCAGACCCCCCCTGGGTCGCACCCGCCGGGGGCTCCGCGCAAAACCAGAACACGCAGCCGGGCATGGCGCGCGGCCGCCCCTGGCGGCCATCGGGCGCGCCGCCGGTTCCCCGCGCCGCCGGCCTGGGGCAAGCGCGCGGGCGGCGCTCGGCGGGCGGCGGGCGGCGGGCGGCGGGCGGCGCCCCTGGAGCGCTCCGCGCCCCAGGGTTGAGGTATTGAGGGGGAGGAGGAGGAGAAGAAGGAGGAGGAGGAGGAGGAGGAGGAGGGGGGAGGAGGAGGAGGAGGAGGAGGAGGAGGAGGAGGAGGAGGAGGAGGAGGAGGTGGAGGAGGGGAGGAGGGGGAGGAGGAGGAGGAGGAGGAGGAGGAGGAGGAGGAGGAGGAGGAGGAGGAGGAGGAGGAGGAGGAGGAGGAGGAGGAGGAGGAGGAGGAGGGGGAGGGGGAGGAGGAGGAGGGGAGGAGGAGGGGGAGGAGGTGGAGGAGGGGGAGGAGGGGGAGGAGGAGGAGGAGGAGGAGGAGGAGGAGGAGGAGGAGGAGGAGGAGGAGGACGAGGAGGAGGAGGAGGGGGCCCCCCCCGACGACCGACGTGGCCAGCCCACCTCGGCGGCCAGCGGTCGGCTTTGACGTGGGTGCGATGGCCTAGCAGCCCGGGGAGCGCACGCACGAGCGTCCCGCCTCTCTCCCGCGTCGGGAAGCCGCGCAGGCAGCCCCGGGACGTGCTGCTCGCCCGCCGCCCCGTCCAGGACGGAGCCAGGGCAAGGATAGAAAAGCGGGCGAGGATCAATCGAGAACCTCTGACGTCCGGCAGCTCTGGAGGATGACTCGGGCGCCGCGGCCTTCTCAGAGCGTTCCCGAACGCTGTGACAGCGTTCTGGAACACTCTGGAACAGATTTTTATCCTCGTCCTTGAGTATAGTTTATCCGACCCCCATCCCCATCCTCATCCCCTTCGAGACCCCCACCAAATTGCCAACCCAGTTGGGGATACAAACACGAAGGGGACGGCCTCTATCCCCATTTAGGGGGGTAAATCGGCCACTGGGGCCCAGGCCATGAGTATCGTTCATCCGATCCCCATCCGCAGTGGCTTGGCATGGGCCCCGCTGGCCGATTGACCCCCCTGGACGGGGATAGAGGCCGTCCCCTTCGCGCTGGTATCCCCAACCCGGGTGGTAGTTTGGTGGGGGTCTCGAAGGGGATGAGGATGGGGATGGGGGTCGGATAAACGGTACTGAGTCCTGGAACGCCAGATGGAACAGATGTGTCCTCGCCCTGGCCCCGTCCGACCCAGGTCGGGTTGCTCGCGCCGCCCAGCCCGCCCCTGGTGGGGTCGGGAGGCGGGCGGTGGGGCGCCAGGGTTCCATAGCCCGGAGCAGGCCACACTGGTGCTGCGGATTCGGCCGAGTCCAGTGGGATTGAGCCAGACTCCCTGGGACCATGCCGCTCTGGGCAAGTCTTCGCCCACGGATGCAGTCAACCTGTATGGCAAGGACGCGCGATGAGGATGCAAGGGCCTCGGACGCCCATTTCGAAGCTTTCCGAGCGGGGCGCGGTCAACGAAAGCGGCGAAGGATGGACCGAGGAGGCAAGGATGCAAGGGTACCCTTGGAAAGGTTGCCCATCCTTACTATGCGGGTTGACTGTAGGCCAGATCAGGCCAAATTGATGCCGTGGATTCAGCCGAATCTAACGGGATTGAGCCAGACTCCATGGGACCATGTCACTTTGGGCAAGTCTTCGCCCACGGATATACCAAAACCGATGCTGACTTTACCCTCCTGGGGGCTGCATTCAAAGATGAACCGTCCTCAGACCTCATCTCGTCCAGTCGGAAGTACAATACAAACGTGCAGTATGGCGGGTGGTAAGGACGCCAGACCCTTGGAGGCCGAAGTTGGCATGTGCTGGCAACAGCGGAACTCTTCAGCTTCGGGCTGGCAAGAACTTGACAAAAGACGTCAACGGATGCATCCTGCATAGAAGGCCTGGCACGGGTTCAGGCGCGAAGGATAGCAGGAAAGGAGGTTTTGAAACAAAGGCGGCGTAGCGGGATGGGAAGACCTCGAAGTAGTAGGGCGATGCCACACCTAGAAGTCAAGGCCGAACCAGAAGGAATGAAGATGCAGATGAGGGACGAGAAGATGCGGGTCGTGGGGAGAGGCAGGGGAAGTGAAGCACATCTTGTAAATCAATTGACAGACAGAGGGCATTGAGACAGCGGGCATCAAGTGAGGCAAGGGGAATCGAGGGCGGACGAGGCGTGGGCCACTCGCAGAGGGGGTGAACAGCGCATGAGGGGAAAACGAGGAGTGTTTGGGTGTGAACGCAAAAGCAAACAAACAACGATACTGAATCATCGAACGCAATTCCACATGGCATGGGAGCATGGGGGCATTCCGGATGACGAGGCATCGAGCCAGATCGGAAATCTGGGGAACATGCATACTGAGAGAAGACCTGTGGTACGTCCAAACACAAGCTATAAGAAAAAAGAGAGAGAGAGAGAGACACGAACAACAACAGACGAGAGAAGGGGGGGCCATAAAGAAGATAGGGGAGGGAACGAGAGAGAGAGAGATGGGGAGAAAAAGAGAGAGGAAAGAGAGAAAGAGAGAGCACACGCGAGAGAGAGACAGAGATAGAGATAGAGCAAAAGAGAGAGAGAGAGAGAGAGCGAGGCATAGAGACAGAGAGAGAGAGAGAGCCAAGACCGCGGGGCAGTTGTCATACGCTCTGCGCGGACCTGTCTACTCATCTCCCTCAGGATTCGCTATCTGCTCCTGCAGGGCGGAAGGGAGGCTGATCCATGCTCCCTCGAAAGCTGCACGACTCGCCCAAGAAAGTTCTCGGATGCCGACACGGAGATGCTCAGAGACACAACGGAAACTGCCACGACAACTCTCGGACGCTTTCGCGTGCCTCTCAACGTACGTGATCTGTTAGAACACGCGTGCGAATACTCGAGCGAGTCGGTGGCGATGCGTGTTGAGACACCAGGAAGCCAGTTCGTGCCAAGGCCAGGGACAGTCTGGCAATCAGAAGGACAAGGTGATCTTTGTTGGTTCATTGTTTCGCCGATAGGCGCGGGCCCTCGCACACCCCCTCCTCCCCCCTCATGGAGTGGATCTTGGCTGCTTTGGGCGCATGTTTCGAGCAGGTGGAATCTCCCTCATAGGACGCACGGGTCCAGCCAGTCGCACTAAGCAGAGATCCAGAGCCAGACCCCTCCCTCCCCCACTTCCACCCAATGCCGAAATGTCGAATCAAGAAACGTTCTCAACTGAAGCAGATCGGCAGCAACGGTGGGCAACACCATGGCCAGCGACCCAGACACATATCAGTGCAAACATGGGGTGGGACAAATCCAACCAGCCCTCTGGGCTTAACGAGTTGTTCTCACTTCCCTGTCGCCCACCCTCCTTCCCCTGCTCGGGGGAAAGGCTTAATCGCTGTTCCCTGTCACCCTCCCCCACCCGGCCGGCGACCATCTCCGGACCATGCCAGCCCCATGAGGACCACCCCACCTCACCACCCCTGTCAAAAAGCAATGCAAAACGCACTCTGCCTCCACACTTGGAACATGCGCGACCAACCCGATACGGCCCTTCACACCATCCGTGCCAAAAAAAAACAAAGTACACTCTGGGGCAAAGTCTTGAGTCATGTTCGTGAGGCGAGCACTTTGTATTGTTGTTGGCAGGGACGGCGGGGGTGTCAGCATATTCCCTGCTGTGCGCAGGGCTACAATCCCTGACAACAAAAAAAACAATACAACATGCACCTCGCGGAAAAATTTGGATCATGCGCGGCCACCCCGCGATCACTGCCAAATGGTGTTTGACAAGGACGGCGGGGGTGGTGGCGCCCTGCCCAACGCAGGCCCACCAGACACAATGATGGGCACTGGTTTTCGATAAGGATGGTGGGGGCCGACATGTTTCCCGAGGTGTGCTGCCACGCGCGCAGGCGCACCTGACGCATTCTGCACGTGCCCCGAACGTGGCGCACCAGGCGCGGCTGGAGTGTGCGGCACACCTGGCGCACTCGGAGCACGTGGCGCATCTGGCGCACCAGGCGTGCCTGGCACGCTCGGGCCCCAGGGGTGCCTGGCGCACGGGGCGCGCCTGGCACGCGTGGCGCACCTCGCCCAAGCGTCGCGCACCTGGTCTCGGCTTTGGTTCCCAGTAGCTGCCCATCCAAAGACGACCGCTGACCATGCTCAGGCTCGGGTGTTACGTATGTGTTGGGAGGGCGGGTGGGAGTAAGCTAGACTGTTTGCGGGCAGCTGGGCATCTGACCCCACCCCCTACCCCGCCCTTGGGCCTGGGAGAATGGTGGGCGGAGCCGTCAGAGCGCCCAAGATGGCGGCTCCAAGAGGGCCCAATACAGCCCCAGAGGGCCTCCAAGATAGCGCAAGATACCTCAACATCGCTCAAGATAGCCTCCGACAAGCCTCCAAGATGCCCCAAGACAGCCCCAAGAGGATTCCAAGTGCCACTCCCGCCTCCGAAGGCACCTTCCAAGATGCCAACACCCTTCAAAAACCTACGGAACCTGAAGGTTGTTCGGCTTCTCGATGTTTCGCTGCCGTTGAGCTTCTTGGGGCGGCTCCAAGATCGCCCTAGAGGCCCAAGAGGACCCCAAGACAGACCCAAGACGGGCCCAATAGCGCCCAACAGGCGCCAAAGAGCGGCCCAAGAGGCCCCCAAGAGGCCATCTTGGAGCTTCTTAGGAGGGGACCTAAGTTGATTCCCCCCCATTAGTTGATCGGTCTCCTCCAAGATGGCCCAAGGGAGCTCAAAGGGGCGCCCCGCACCAGCAGGGAGGCCCTCAAGAGGCCCCTAAGCAAGAGCGCCCAAGAGGCGCCCAAGAGGCACCCAAGAGGCCATCTTGGAGCCTCCGAGGGGAAGACCTAAATGGATTACCGCCCGCCCTTCTTTGAGCCATGGGGGCCCAAGACCGGCCCAAGAGACGTCTCAGAGCTCACAGCGCGGGGGCGTGCGGGCCAGAGTGCGGGCGAGCGGATAGCCGCACACCCGCACGACGCAGGCGCCCGACATAGCCCCAACGCAGTCCCCCACGGGCCTGACGCAGACATACGGGATAGGGGGCACCAAAAGACGGGAGGAGGATATAGGATATGGGCATCGATTAACCGATCCCTTTCCCCACTGGCGTTGCCTGGGCCCCACTGGCCGATTCACCCCCCCGGATGGGAATGTGGGCTGTTCCCTTCGGGTCTCGAGAGGCATGTCCCCGACTGGGGTGGTAAAAATGGTGGGGATCGGGACAGGGATCGGGATGGGGTTAGGGATCGGTTAAAACGACACTGAGGATAGGACAGGACAGCCCCGAGAGGAAATTGGGCGCCCGAATTATCCGGGGTAACTCGGACCCGGGGCAACTCGGGTTCGGATTCTCGGAAAACGAAACCACATTGGCCCTGACCCGAGTTACCCCTGATGTGAGCAGGGACCGACCGCCCCGGCATTCCATAGTCCTACCACGAAATGTTCTTGGAACCCAAAGATGTTCTAAGAACAAAGACACTGTTCTTAGAACATAAACCAGATGTGAAACAACCAGACAGACTCCGCCCGACATGTGATAAGAGCATTTCGTGGCAACCACCAACAGGTTCTTAGAACCTTGTTTGGTAGGGCTTGAGGCGAGTCAGGACGCTTCGCCACTGCTTGACTGATGGTTCGGGGCTCCGAGGGAAGAATCTCGCAAAACCTGCGCGGCCGCTAAGCGGCCGCGCCCCGCGGGCGAAGCGCGCGCCGCCGCGCCAGCGGCCACTCGCACCTCCGGCCCCTCCCCGGGGCCTCCGCCGCACCCCCCCCCCCACCCCTGGGTTCGGGAGCGGCGAAGAGGGGGGTGTCCAAGAGGGGGTGCACATCATGACCGGCGGCATGTGCGCGGCCCAGCGGGGGGACCAGGGAAGTAACGAAATAAGAAGAGGCGCCATGAAATCTGGGGACAAATCATGGCCCGCGCCATGGAATCCACCCCCCCCTAGTCATCACCCCCCTCTTTGCCGCCCCCGATGGGGGGCTCGGGGCTCAAAGCGAGCGCCACGCCGCCGGTGGGCGGCCCATGGGGGCCCGGCGCAGATCGGCGGCGAGCGAGGCGAGGGAAGCGGGGAGGAGCACGCCTGCTCGGAGGGCTCGGCAGTCCCCCCGGCCCTCCGAGAATCGAGCTCCGAGCCCTCCGCGGAGGCGGAGGAAACCTGTCTGACTGCCTACCAGACCACCCCAACCCAACCCGACGACCCCAATTTCGGGTTGGGGGGGGTACGGGTTCCATATGTGTTTTTTCAATGTTCCCCGACCCCCCCCAACTGGAAATGGAGGGCAAATTGAGGCCTTCGGGTTGGGTTGGGGTGGTTTGGTGAGTGGTGACTGTCAGAAGGCGCGAGGGCTCCTGAGAAGCCCCAGCCGCCTTCCGAGAAGGCCGTCTCCTTCTCGCTCCCCCCCCCCTCGCTCGCCGCCGAGCAGGGACGCCCAAGCTGCCCACCCTGTGGGGCGCTGGAGCATCTATCGGGGAGACGTAAGACTCGGGTACGGGGGACTCGGGTTGGCCTGACGGGGCCATAATGAAAAAGACGAGCCCCTATCTGGAATTTGACGCGAGCTCCCGCTGCAAACATCCCACGAAACTCCCACTCGTCAAAATCCAGAACGAGCTCGTCAAAAAACGATGGCGAACCCGAGTCCTGGCAAACCCGGGTCTTACGCTCCCCCGAATCTATACCGTCGGACCCAGGACAGAAGAACATCCCTGAAGAACATGAGACCCTCCGCTGGCCCAAACACCCCGAACTATAAGATGGTTCGAGGGTGCCCTCCTCCAGGATGCTCAAGAACATGAGACAATCACGAAGAATACTAGGGTACCCTTCCCGAGCCGACCTCGATCTTATACATCGGTCCGACCGTACGCCAAACTCCCTCGCCGAGCTCCTTGGCTACCTGGCCGACCAAACGACGCGGAGTATACACCAGGATCCTCCGACCCCGCAGGGAGAAGGTGAGAGGCCATCCTCGCCCCCGGACGGCACAGGAGCAGGCACGCCGGCACTACCGCCAGCGGCCTCCTTTCGCGCGGGCGCCGCGGTGTGCGGCGCTCTGCGAGGACAGCGCTCTGCGTGCTGCGCATCCCGCAGAAAGCCCAGTCATCCGGGCCCGCGCCAGGTCGAGAATGATGTCATGATAGGATTGGCTCAAGATACTTGTTACATGTTCTCCTGCATCGAACATCCAGCGCACGACATGAAGGCACCGCAACTGGCAACTGAGGGCGAAGCAAACGCGACCCCCGGGCAAAGTGCTCCCTGGACAAGCGGCGACCTGCCAGCCGTCGTGTGTAGACTAGTCCTCTACCCGACGATCCAAAGCAGTGCAGCGTGCAAATTTCCCTAGAAGGTGAGAGGACGGCAAGGAGGGGGAGGAAAGAAGGAAAGAGCAGTAAGAAATGCCAGCGGCATTTGTACATCTCCCACGGCGCAAACACCGCCGACACACGGGCACGGAAACGTGCAAGTGAGGAACAAGAAGAGAGACATCACACTGTAGCACAGGCCCGCCAAGCAGCGCGCGGGGCGGTATACGAACCAGCACACCTCAGATACGTTCCAAACTTTCCAACGTGCCCGGCAGCCCTTGTTTCCGGAGCCCGTGCGGACCAAGAGAAACATCTGGAAGCATGGGGGAACTCTTGGAACGTGCAAGCCTCATGACCTGTCGACGCTCTGACTTGCAACCGTCTCCCCCCCCCCGCCCGCGGGGGGAGAGGCGTGAGCCTCTGGTCCAGAGCAAGGAGCAGCGCAGGGGCCAACCTGCCACAGTCGAGCCGTGGCGCCCCCCCCCCAGCAAGAGAGCAAAGGCAGCGGCAGGGGCGTCCTCCCTCGAGGCGGCCTGGAGCGCGAAGGCGGACGGGTCTGCCAGCGACTCGCCCTGCTCCTCAGCCTGCCGACCGTGGGGCTTCCACCTCCTTGCTGCTGCTGCTGCAGCCGCTGCCGCTGCCGCTGCCGCTGCTGCTGCTGCTGCTGCTGCTGCTGCTGCTGCTGCTGCTGGGCTCCACTAAGGGCTCGACGCTCGCCTCCTCCCCTACTCCTCCCCCTCCTCCTCCTCCTCCTGCCTCCCCCCTCCTCCTCCCTCCTCCTCCTCTCCTCCTCCTCCTCCTCCTCCTCCTCCTTCCTTCCTCCTCTCCTCCTCCTCCTCCTCCTCCTCCTCCTCCTCCTCCTCCGCCTCCTCCCCCTCGATCTTCGGGTCCAAATGGGCTCGGCGCTCGCCTGGCAGCAAAGGGCCCGACCCGTGTCTCGCGGACGGCCGATCCGATCCTCGTTCTCATTCTCTTCCTCGTCGCCCCCCGTGTTCTCCAGCGTGCAACGATGGGATGCCCGTGAGTGGAAATGCAAGTGGCTGTTTTGCGTTGGGCCTTCACACGCAGCATCTCAAATGACATGCTGTTCCAGACCTTGCTCTCGAGGTGGACCAGCTGATCCAGACCCAGGTCCTGATCGAACACATCTTCATCCACGCCCTCCTCCCGCTCCTCCTCCTCCTCCTGCTCCTCCTGCTGCTCCTCCTCCTCCTCTTCCTCCTCCTCGTCCTCCCGTCCTCGTTATCCTTGAGGCACAGGGGCTGACTCCTTGAAGGTCCTGGAGATAAAAGTGAGTGCTTTCCTTGGGGGGAGGTCTGCTACCCCGGGGCGGGGTGGTCCACCGACACGGCGGGGATCTCTGGAGACAGGGAGGTGGGAACTCGGCCGGCGCGACCGAGGAGAAGGAACGGGAGGAGGTTGCGCAGTTCGCAAAACCCGAGCGATGACGAGGTCTAATCTACGTCTGCGTAAGGCGTCACTCCGCTGACCCCCCAGCAGCCCTCGAAAGTGTCGACGGTTGCCTAGTTCACAGCCCACCCAAAGAAAGCGAGGTCTCATGTAGGTCTGCATAAGGCGTCACCCCGCTGGACACCACTGCAGCCTTCTAAATTGGTGCCGGAGGCGCGGAGGATGGACCGTGATCAGGGAAGCGGGGGGGAAGAGGGAAGTAGTAAGCAGAGAGCAGAAGAACCACCACCCCCTAATCACCACCCCGACACGCGAAGCCGCCTCGTGAGCGCACCCAGGGCAGGCAGGAGTTCGCACAGGGGGCAGGGCTGCTGCGTGGACGCCCAGGACCGTTCCGTACACGCCCAGCAAAGGAGGGCGGGGTGGCGTCTCCTCCCCTGGAGGAAGGGAGGGAAGACGGAGGAGCGGGAAGAGGAGGGGGGAACCAGGAGGAGACTCGGGGTGGCGTCTCCTCCCTGGAGGAAGGGAGGGACGATGGAGGAGCTGGAAGAGGAGGGGGGAACCAGGAGGAGGGGGGGGAGGGGGAGGGAAGAGGGAGGGAAGATGGAGGAGCAGGAAGAGGAGGGAGGAGCCAGGAGGAGGAGGGGATGGGAGTGGAGTGGCCGGTCTGCCCGCCGGGCGCACCGCCAAAATGTGAACCCCCTGGGAGGCCGGAGCCCGGGGCCACGAGCTCGAGGTCCCACAACGCACTCGCTCGGCCCACGAACGCCGCTGACCCCGCTCCGCGCTCACGCGGCTCGCTCCACTCGCTTGCGCTCGCCCCACTCGCTCCCACCCTCCTCCCCCGCTCCTCACACTCCTCACTCCCACGCTCGCTGACTCCAACCTTCTCACCCTCCCGTCTCCGTCCCCTCCCGCTCCACGTCGCCCTCTGCCTCCCCCTGCGTCTTCAGGCCTGGCGCCTGTCCTGTGAAGGTAGGCTGTACCATTTGGGGCCCTCCTCCCCTCCTCCCCTCCTTCTCATCTTCCTCCTCCTCCTCCTCCTCATATTCCCCCCTCCTCCTCCTTCTGCTCCACCTCCTCCTCATTACCTCCCCTTACCAGCAGCAGCGGCGTTCCGCACTCGGCCTCGTCTAGGATTTCCAAGGCTCTGGCAGGATCTATCCTTCGGCGGAGACGAGGAGGAGGAGGGGCGAAGGAGATGGATGAGAATGGATGGGGGTTAGGGGTGAGAGAGAAGGGAGGAGGAAAGAAAGAGCAGGGGGGTGAGATAGACATGGAGGGAGGGAAAATAGACATGGAAGAGGGCGGGAAAACGCGAGTTTTTTTGTTGCACGTCGACGGGGGCACTCACGAAGGCAAGGGCTCAACAGGGCATGGTGCTTCGAAGCCGTGCATGTACGGGGTCAGGCACAAGTTTGCACACCAGTCTTGAAGCGCGCTAGCCAAAGCGACATTGAGTAACGTTGTCGCTGAGTCGAAGGGAAGCCCCTTCCCTTTGATCCCTTCCCCACCGGGGGGGGGGGGGGGGTCGCCGGGGGGGGTCGCCACCCAGATACGCCTCCCCCCCGGGCGGTTCTGGGGCCCAGAAAACCCCCAAGACGCGGCAAAAGTGCCCCAAGAGGCTCCAAGACGGTCCTCGAGGGCCCCGCATCGCCGAACTATCGGTCGAACACGCCAAAGTAGCCTCCAGACGGCTCAAGAGGTTTCGAAAACGTCCCAAGAGGCCTCCAAAAGCACTCCCAAGAAGGCCCCAAGGTGCAAAAATCATAGCATTCCCTTTGTGTGTTTGACGGTTTTTGGAGTTCTCGCGTTTTCGGCTTCCCGACGCTTCAAGACGGCCCAAGAGGCCCCCAATATCGCCCCAAGACAGCCCAAGAGGCCCCCAAGACGGCCCCAAGACGACCCAAGATGGCCCCAAGACGACCCAAGAGGCCTCCAAGACGGCCCAAAGGGCCCCGAAGACGGCTCCAAGAGGGAGCCCAGACAGGGGAGCCGAACTGACATTTCGAGCCCTCGCCCTGAGAGGCGCCCGGGCGGCCCCCAGAGGCCCCCAAGAAGCCCCCAAAGAGGCCCCAAGAGGCCCCCAAGAGACCCCCAGGAAGCCCCAAGAGGCCCTGACGAAGCTCCCAAGAGGCCCCAAGAGCCTCCGAAGAGGCCCCAAAACTACCCTCAAGAGACCCTCGAGAGCGCTCGTCGTCGCCGTCGCCGTCGCCGTCGCCGTCGCCGTCGTCGTCGTCGCCCTTCAGGGTCGGCGGCACTGGCCGTAAGGCCTTCGCAATAGACATGGAAGAAGGGCGGGAAACACGCGAGTTTTTTTGTTGCACGTCGACGGGGGCACTCACGAAGGCAAGGGCTCAACAGGGCATGGTGTTTCGAAGCCGTGCGTGTACGGGGTCAGGCACAAGTTTGCACCCGAGTCTTGATCGCAAGAACGTACATGCAGTCCCAGCATCGTCCTTTCTCGCAGAAGGCATAGTCTTGGAAAACGCGATCCAGGCTTTGGACAAGTGACAACTATCCCGGCAAAGCAACCTAACATCGATATGTAGAAGCATAGCTGGAGGGGTGTATGTCCAAACGAGACACTGCTATCAACGCACGGAACTTGAATGGATGTATGTCCAAGCGAGACACTGCTATCATCGCAGGGAGCTCGAATGGGTGTATGCCCAAACGAGACACTGCTATCAACGCACAAAGCTTGAATGGATGTACCTCCAAATGAAACACTGCTATCAACGCACGGAGCTCGAATGGATGCATGTCCAAACGAGACACTGGTATCAACGCACGGATGCTTGAATGGGTGTACGTCCTCACGAGACACTGCTATCAACACACGGAACTTGAATAGATGTATGGTCGAACAAGACACTGCTATCAACGCACACACTGCTATCAACGCACAGAGCTTGACACTACACAGTTGCATCGCAGACTCGCAGGACAGTAGGACTCGCAGGACTACATTGTGTACAAAGTATTATGCGCAGGGACTCGTAAGACCTGAGTCTCTACTGGTGTGCTGGGCGAGTCCATGCAAAAGCATGCAAAAGCATGCACTTTGGCAGACGCCTTGGAAGTCTGCAAAAGCGGCACGCTGAGCTGCGGTGGCAGGCTGCAAAACCGGCAGCCTGCAAAAGCCTGCACTTTGGCAGACGTCTTGGAAGCCTGCAACAGCGGCAGGCTGAGCTGTGGTTGCAGGCTGCAAAAGCGGCAGCCTGCAAAAGCATGCACTTTGGCAGACGTCTTGGAAGTCTGCAAAAGCGGCACGCTGAGCTGTGGTGGCAGGCTGCAAAAGCGGCAGCCTGCAAAAGCCTGCACTTTGGCAGACGTCTTGGAACTGAGGAGCGGCGTGCGAAGCGGAGAGCCTGCGAAACCTGGAGGCTGAAAACTCGCAGGCTGAGACTCGCAGAAACCCGCAGGCTGAAAAGAGTCCTACTACTCGCAGAAAAGCACCGCAGAAAGAGTCTAGCGAAAAGCACCGCAGGCTGAGAAGCACCGCGGGCACACGGGCTTGGAAACCTCACCTCTCCCGCTCGTCTTGCAGGAAGTCGCGCCAATCCGGCGGCTGCCAAGAGTCGATGATGCGCCGAGACCCACCGCCCGTGCTGCCGCCGATGCCCAGGTTATCCCCTCCCGCAGCACGGAGGCGGCCGTGTCCTAGCGCCACAATCGCCTGGTTCCGGTTGACTCGCAACTCGCCGCTGTCCCACTTCCGAAGCACGTCCAACTGCTTGCGCGTGAGAGTGGGAACCTCCTGGCCCTGGTCGGCAGGCTGAGTAGTACCGCCACGTAAGAGCTCTTGCCGATAGCGGGCGAGCCGCTCGCCCTCGTTGTAGCGCGAGATCGCTTCAGCCTTGTCGTGGTGGAGGCGGCGGCGCTCTTCCCTCATGACTTCGTCGTGCGCAGGTGGCTCACTGGGTTCGGCGTGCAGGGCTTGGGTGAGCATGTCAACGTCGAAGCGGCCGGAGAAAGCCAGCACCTCCCAGATCTGTTTTGTGCCGCACACACGTTGCAGATGCCGGCACCACCGCTTGCGCTTCTGCTCTCTGAGGAACTTAGCGAGACTCCCTTGGCCTGCCCCTTGGGGCTGGCCACCTTGTGGTGGAGTCTTGCCTTTCGCCTTCCCCTTCTCGCCTTTTCCCGCAGACTGAGAAGCTCCGCGAAAACCTTGTGGTGGAGTCTTGCCTTTCGCTTTCCCCTTTTCGCCTTTTCCCGCAGGCTGAGAAGTTCCGCTAGAACCTTGTGGTGGAGTCTTGCCTTTCGCTTTCCCCTTCTCGCCATCTCGTTCCTGTAGCGCCAGCTGGTGTTCGGACTGCTCGTACTCTGTGCGAACACGTCTTACGAGTTCCCCGCGCTCAGCGTCGGTGAGGACGCGCCGCAAGTCGGCGATGTTTTTGCTCCGCAGAAACTCATGGCGAACCTTAAGGACAGACACAATGGCTCGGACAGTCTCCGCCTGTGACGCGAAGGCGGTGTCACAGTCCGAGCCAGGCTGAGAAGCACCAGCTGGATCTTTGTCCGCAGGCTGCGTGGACGTCCTCTTCTTGAACAGCAAGAGGCTGAGGTGGTGGAAGAGTTCCGGGTCGTAGGCCGCAGGCTGCGGCGTCGGCCGGTGACGTCGGTGAAAGCGGCGCATGCACAGGAGCGGGGCTCGGGGACCGGGACCAGTGCACCGAGGAGCCCTCCACCTCGGTCTCTGAGCCGGCGTCGGCGTCAGGCAATCCTCCGAATGCAATCTTCCGCCTCTTTGTCTCCCCAGGCTGAGAAGCATCAGGGGCGGTGAGCACGACCGCAACAGCATCGTGTGCGTCGTTTCGCATGCCACGGCCCATGTAGGAGGCGCCAACAGCGACGGGCTGGAAACGCGCGACTGCTCCGCAGACTGCCACGTTGTCGCCTTTGCGGTCCGCCGGGGGGGCGAAGACTTCCCATAACTCCTCGTCGTCAGTGTGGCGTTGGAAAGCTTCACGCGCCTCCTGCGCGGTCAAATTATTGTCGCCGACTACGAGGCGCGCGACCGGCGTGCCCGGCTCCCCAGTACTGAGAAGCACGGCGATCCCGTCCAAGTGGAGTCGGAGCAGCCGAACTGCTTTCTGTCGCGCGTGAATGCTGGGAGGGTTGCTTCCGCAAACGATGTGCATGTTTCCGACGACCACGTGAACTTTGTCATGGCCTCCTGTCTGCACATTGAACCGTGAGATCACTGCGTCCACTTGTCGCGCGATGGGGACGTGGTAGATGTATGTGTCCTCGCGCAGGGACACGTCAGCAGGCTGAGAAGCACCGCCGAAGCCCCATAGGCTCAAGTAGTTGGCGACCTCGCAGAAGCCGATGCTGTCGCCGAACGGCTTGGTCAGGATGTCTTTCACGTTGATGGATGCTCGACTCAGGCCTTGACGAAACGCACCGACCTCGCACCCAAAGAAAAGGTCAGCATCGACTTCCTCGACTATCTTGGCGCAAATCCGCCCGAAGTTGGAGCAGTGAGTCTTGGAGTTCTTCCCCATCATCATGCTCTGCTCGAACCCGAAATTAAAAGAGGCGACCGTAAAAGACGCAGGTTGAGGATCACAGCGAGCAGGCGCGGCCGCAGGCGTGTGTCGGTCTTCCTCCGCAGGCTGAGAAGCACCGCGAGAAGCCGAGGCTGCAGGCCGGTAAGGATAGGGCCAAGGGAGGGCCATCCTGGAAGGGCACGTCCTGAACCAAAGACGGCTGTCAAGACAATGACGATGACGATGACGATGACGATGCTGATGCTGATGCTGATGATGATGGCGATGATGATGATTTTGATGATGATGATGATTATGATGATGCTGTTGCTGCTGGTGATGATGGTGGTGGTGGTGATGGTGGTTGAGGTGATGGTGGTGGTTGTGATGATGATGATGAGAATGATACTGATGATGATGATGACGATGATGATGATGATGATGATGACGGTGATGATGGTGGTGGTGGTGATGATGATAATGATGATGATGATAATGATGATGATGATGATGATGATGAGAGGAGGAGGAGGAGGAGGAGGAGCAGGAGGAGGAGTAGGAGGATGATGATGATGATTATGATGATGCTGTTGCTGCTGGTGATGATGGTGGTGGTGGTGATGGTGGTTGAGGTGATGGTGGTGGTTGTGATGATGATCAATTGGCTCCGGGCATCCAAAATGTGGCCCGGGAATGGAGTTCTGGGAAATAGAAGAGCACGAAGTGGCCTACAGTTGGCTCCGGGCATCCAAAATGTGGCCCGGGAATGGAGTTCTGGGAAATAGAAGAGCACGAAGTGGCCTACAGTTGGCTCCGGGCATCCAAAATGTGGCCCGGGAATGGAGTTCTGGGAAATCGAAGAGCACGAAGTGGCCTACAGTTGGCTCCGGGCTTCCAAAATGTGGCCCGGGAATGGAGTTCTGGGAAATCGAAGAGCACGAAGTGGGCACGAAGTGTGTGACTGTATGCGAAAAACGATCCCCGCCGGCAAACCCCAACAGCCCCCCAACTGCCCCCCAACTGCCCCCAACGGCTGCCCAGACCCCCCTGTGGAGTAATGTTGAAGTAATGTTGAAGTAATGTGCTGCTCTCTTTTTAGACCACTAGAAACCTACCAGTCTTCGATGTTAGGTAAATAGCTCGCGCGCGGCCGCCGCAGTAGTGACCAAGGGTCCGGAAGGGGGAGCGAGATGTGTAACGAGCGATCTGGAAGGAGAAAAGTGACGGACGCGTCATGAGCGGGAGTGCCAAGGAAGAGGATGAGGATGGTGTTGACCATGACGGCTAAGAAGATGATGTGAGGCAGTATCAAGGACTGCGGGACATGGAGGAGCACGATGTGGAAGAGGAGACACACGAGATGAGGGACAGTGGAGGATGGCGACGGAGGATGGACGAGGGCAGGAGGATGGACGGCGGCGAGAGGGGAAGGACAGAACGGGAGAGAAAGAAGATAGAGGGATGAAGGTGGAAAATGTAGACGAACAACACACGACATAAACATAAACTGTTGGCGCTCCGCGCGGATTTCTTGGATCTGCGCTATGACCCCCATCCCTAGCGCGCGGAGCGCGCCAGAAGCGGCGCTGGAGGCGCCGCCAGGGGGCCCCAACGAGGATCCAAGAAATCCGCGCGGAGCGCCAGAAATTTATGTTTATGGCATTCAATTCTTCTTCGAGGGTGGGGGAGGAGGCGGAGGGGCAATAGGAAGGAGGGGGGGGAGTCGACGACGATGCACCTGCGTCATCGGCGGTGCATCGGCGCCGCCGGCGTGGAGGAGGCCGGGCTCCGCATCGAGCCGCATCGCCGATGCATCGGCGATGCGGCGCGATCGTCAAACCCCATCTACGCGGACCCCATCTGGGAGGCCCAGAAATAGGAGGGAGGGTCAGGTCGGGCGCGCCTCCCTACAGGCAGATTCTGGGCGAAAATTTGAAAATACACCCAAAATGATCTAAAACGCCCAGAAAGACTCAACGCATAGACCCCCTACAACTATTTTCTAACAGTTGACTTTTCGTTTCGACTGCGTTTTACGGTGCAGGCGGATTCGACACAAAAGCAAGGGAAAACGAAACCAAAACAACACCGAAAAACACTGTTTCGGTTCAGCCCTGGCGCAAATCCTCAGCAGCGCGGCGAGCACCGCCTCGTCCAGGGGGTGCGGGGCCTTCCACGGGCCCTGGCTGTTCAGGGCCTGCAGCTTGCCCTCGCGGGGAGGGAGGCGCTCTCTCGGGGCCGCGGGCGCAGCTCCTAAGCCAACCCCCAGCAGGGCCTCATCCTTCACGCGGGCCTCTTGCTCCTCCGCCTCCTCCTCCTCCGCCTCCTCCTCCTCCTGCTCCCTCCCTCCCTCCCCCTACCCCTCCTCCACCTCCACCTCCTCCTCCTCCTCCTCCTCCGCCCTCCGCCTCCTCCTCCTCCTCCTCCGCCTCCTCCGCCTCCTCCGCCTCCGCCTCCTCCTCCTCCTCTTCCTCCTCTTCACCCACACCAAGCCCTCAGGCTCCTCCTCCCTCTCCTGGTACGCAAGTAGCTCCTCCCCGTCGCACCGCCACACGTATCGGTAGGGCGGTCCTGGCGTTTCGGCCTCGACCACCTCATAATCTCATGAAACCGATGAATAAAAGTTCCCCCGCAAGTTCACGAATGCAAGGCGGGTGACTTTACAATGATATTCTTGCCATTGAGGTGCGCACGTCAATCTTGGAAGCTGACAATAACCGTAATTACGGATGGATGGCGGCTGGTGTGCAAAAAGGGTTCTCGCCTCAGCGCCGCGGGGGCGAATCTCGCCGCTCTTGGGCGAGCCCCCCTGGCCACAAGCGCAGGGAGCGTCACCGAACAAAGAGCGCGCGCCCTTTGCGGAGCGGACACTTCGCGGGCGCCTGCGAGAGGAGCCACGCCGCGGGGAGCTCCTCGACACGGCAGGACGGACGACGCTCCCAAAGCGCGGCACGCCACGGGCGGCCCCTCTTCAGTGTGTGGCGGCGGCGTGAAGTTCCCGTGCGCTGTGTGGAGCCCGCAGGGCGGGTACCCTAGGGCTCCCAACTTCGCGCTTCGTGCTGCGCGAAGCGCGAAGCGCGAATAACTTCGCGCTCTCGCGCCGCCCTCCCAAAGGGAGAATAGGAGGACGAGGAGGAGGGGGAGAAGGAACGAGGACCGCGAAGCGCGAATAACTTCGCGCCCTCGAGGGAGCCCTTGGGTATCGTGGCCCCCGAATGGGGAGATGAGCACCCTTGTCCTGGCGAAGGACACAGCCATGTGCAACTGTGAGTACCTCACTGGTGCGTACAATGCAGTTTTTAATACATCGGATTGTATAAAACTAGATGATTTGTCATACATGCTTGGTGTATGAATAAATGTATGCATGAACTCATCGTTGATTTTAATACTAAATTCTTTCACTATTTGAAAAGATCCGCACGCGGAGCATGTAGTGAAAACGGCACTGTCTCCCCGGAGCTCCCTATGGGGCCACGAAGCGTGTGAAGGGTATGCCGGCCTTGAGTGGCGGGGGCGCACGTCGTCACAGTCTCTGGTGCATTCGGTGGAGCTCCCTATGGGGCCATGAAACGCGTGAGTGGTGTGCCGAAGTGGGTGGCGGGGGGACGTAGATGGTCACAGTCACTGGGGCATCCGGTGGACCTCCCCATGGAGCACCACCGAAGGCGCCAATGCCACCGCCCGCCCATTCAGGCACACCCCTTACACGTTTCGTGGCCCCGCAGGGAGCTCCACCGAAGGCCCCAGTGCCACCGCCCGCATGCGTCACCCGCGCCCATTCCGGCACATCCCTCACACGTTTCGTGGCCCCACAGGGAGCTCCACCGGAGGCGCCAGTGGCTGCGTTCGCATTGCGCTCACCGCATCAAATTCGGCACAACCAACACACGTTTCGCACGGCCCCAATGGCTGCGTTCGCATGCGCCCACCGCACCTATTTCGGCACACCTCTCACGCGCTTCGTGGCCCCATATTGAAGTCCACCGACGGCCCCAGTGGCTGCTTTCGCATGCGCCCACCGACATTGTTTGGCATACCCCTCACACCTGTCGTGGCCCTATAGGGAGCTCCTCCGAATGCGGTGCATACAACGAAGGCACTCACAACTGCACATGGTTGGGTCCTTTGCCAGGCATTTTGTTCGTTTTGGCTGGGGGGGTCCAGGTAGAGCAAAAAAACAACAAAACGAAAACAACGTTTAGGTTCAGACCTGCCTTGCAGAGGGGCCAGGCTCGTGGAGGACGTATCGACCCTCAATCGCCGCCAGGCCCCCCCAACGGCGCCTCCGGCGATGCATGTGGTCGGCACCATTTGGGCATTGGGTGAAGAACCCTATGGGGCCACGAAGCGTGTGAGGGGTGTGCCGAAAATCTTCTAGCGGGGACGCATGCAGGCGGAACCATTTGGGCCTCAAGTGGAGCTCCCCCCGGGGCCACGAAACGTGTGAGGGGTGTGCTGAAATGCGTGGCGGGGGCGCACGCGGGCGGAACCACTTAGGCCTTGGGTGGAGTTCACTCTGGGGCCACGGGACGTGTGAGGGTGTGCCGAATGGACGCATGCGGGCGGCAAAATTTGGGCCCTGGGTGGATCTCTTTATGGGGCCACGAAGCGTGAGTGATGTGCCGAAGTGGGTGGCGGGGACGCACGCGTGCGGAACCATTTCGGCCTTGGGTGGAGCTCCCTTTGGGGCCACGAAACGTGTGATGGGGTGTGCCGACATGGGTGGCGGGGACGTATGCGGGCGGAACCATTTGGGCATTGGGTGGGGCTCCCTACGGGGCCACTAAAAGTGTGAGCGTGTGCCGAAGTGGGTGGCGGGGACGCGTGTGGGCGATACCGTTTGGGCATTGGGTGGGATTCCCCATGGGGCCACGAAACGTGCGAGGGCGTGCCGACATGGGTGGCGGGGGCGCATGCGGGCGGAACCATGTGGGCTTTGGGTGGAGCTCCCACTGGAGCCACGAAACGTGGGGATGTGCTTGAATGGGTGGCGGGGGCGCATGCGGGCGGCACCATTGGGGCATTGGGTGGAGCTCCTTCTGGGGTAGCGAGGCATCGGCTTACGGAACAGAGGCCCCAGAGATGGTCGGAATGCAACAACCAAGCACGCAGCCGCGAGCACAATGGTGGCAACATCGCACACTAGGTGCGCCCGTGGTTCCACCAGTTCTGGCGAAAGCGTCAGCGGCCACCGGGCGCCCGAAACAAATCATGCGAACGCCCGCGAAGTAACACTCGATCAATCGAAGCACCCGCGCGATTACGGCGTGCAGTTCTGACGCATGGCAGATATGGTCGTGCCGCGCCGAATGTTCATTGTGATGCGGTTCCCAGACATTTCCGCTGCCCCACGATGCATTGCGTCTTGCGGTGTCCATGGTATGAGCGGCAGGCAATGCGTTACGGCTGGCGCCGCATCGCACGGAAACGGCTCGCGACTTTCCTGGAATATTTCGCGCGCTCCCAACGCGCGTGCGCATGGGCAGCGCCCGCACTTGCGCAATCAAGACGCACGGGGGCAAGGGGAACACAGCTTGGTCGCCCTCGGACAGCGACCGCTGGGCCATCGGAGTCCCGAGAGGGCCCCTGCGTACCCCGATGCTGAACTGAGGCATGGCCATGGCCTGTCCACATGGCATGGCCACCTGAAAGCATCGATCGTACATGTGGCATGGTGTACGCGCTCTATGGTCGCGCCCATTACTGGGGCACTGCGCGCGGTGGCCGTAGCATGGGGGCGCGGGCGCCATGGTCCAGTAATGCTATTCTACTGGCGAAGCTTTTGACGACAAAACGCAATTCAAAAAATTAAACGCCTAAGCGCCGAATGATCGGTATAGCGTTGGACGAATCTCGGCTGACCGAACGCGAGAACGCGAGCGCCCGCGCGATGCTCCTTGCTGCAAACTGATGCCACGATTGGGATCGCGATAACAGCGTCCGGAGCGAAAGGGCGCGGACCGAATTTCCTACCAACCGCGACGTTGCGATCAGGAACCGCCGCGCCAATGACAGCGGCAGCAATGATAATCGAACAGACACATTTGAGCAAGTGGCATTGCGACAGCCACATCAAAGGCGCCCTTGCGTTCAATGACACATTGAAGGTCGCGCAACCACGTGCGAGCCCCATGCGACACTACAGCGCACAACAGCATGATGAGCGCAAAAGTGCACAAGCAAACGCGACGTGCGTGCCTGCGCGCGCTAACCTACAAACGCGCGGGCTCGCGGGTGCGCGCGCATGTTCGAGGGCGGCGGCATCGCCTGAATCCGCGGCGCGGTGGCAACTGGTTGTGCAAAGCTGCAGGTCGCCAGGCGCACTTCTGGAAATTCTCGGGGACGCAAAACCATAATGAAAGCCGCGCTGTGCATCCAATGCGACGCGATCACGCGAGACGCACTTTCGCGCGAGACAGCGGGGCGGCGTCGGCAACGTGGCGGCGGGCAAAAACGCAGTAAATTGCGCTGCCTGGTTTGCAAACGCGGGCTTCCCCGTGAACTTTTGCGACCAGTACGGGTTCCCGAAACAGCAGAGCTTCCACTGCGCCAGGCATGGAGGAATGGCCCCTGCTAATAGTCTGGCGCGCGAGTGGGCCAGGCAGGGCAATTATCTTTGCGCCGCGTGGGCCGACCACGACTGCAAGGAAGATTATGCACTCGCGCATGAGGATATCGATGGGCTCGGACAGGACCCGAAATTCTTAGTTACATTGCATGATTTCGCCAGGCCCGCCGATCTGCCAGGATCCATGCTGGATCGGGGTCCACGCGGCGGCGCCGCCTCATGTGGGCGCACCCCTCAGGCGTTTCGTGGTCCCACATGGAGTTCCCCCGAAGGCCCCGGCGGCATGGCCCCATGGCGGTGCCGCCCATGTGGGCGCACCCCTCGCACGGTTCGTGGCCCCACATGGAGCTCCACTGACGGCCCCAGTGGCAGGGTCTACATGGCGGCTGCGCCCCATTTGGGCGCACCCTTCGCTCGGTTCGCGGCTCCGCATGGAGTTCCACCGGAGGCCCTAGCGGCGTGGTCCACATGGCGGCGCCGCCCCATCTTGGCGCACCCCCCACGCAATCGTGGCCCCATGGTACCCGCAGCTGCATATGGTTGGGTGTTTCGCCAGGCTTATCTTAGTCCAGGTCCTAATAGGCCTTTGCGAGGCCCCTTGGGCGACCGCGAGGGGCTCTTTGAGTTTCTTGACATGC